TTTCCACCAAGAGCTTCCTTGGGGGCATAAGGAAATTAGAAAGAGAATAGACCTGGAGTCCTCTAGTGCAGCTATAAGGCCTCCTGTCAGACCCTGCAGCCAACTTCTCTTTCCTGTGCTTTGTTGCAACATGATCAGTCTTTTCCTTAGCCTAGAGATTCTGGCTCCTTGCTTTATTCTGGCTGGTTTCCCTTCAGAAGCGAGGCCTGTAATACCTACTCTTGAACCCCTACCTCCAGTAACCCAAATGTCTCACAAAAAGGGCTGCGCTGCTTGTCCATCTATACTTTCATTATTRCCTTACAGACAGTAAGATGTGATTCTGAAATTGTTTCAACAGAACTGTGATTTTCTCCTTCCTTCCTCCTTCTCCTAAGTGCTGGTTCTCTCCCAACTGAACTCTTCATTTTACCGCATCATCTCTGCCTTTCTGTTGTCCCCTACTTGTTTCTCAAGCCAACAGTCCATGTAGTTGTTGCCATGATGTCCCAGAGCATGGGGCGTACCAGCATAAAGTCATTTCAGGTCAGTGGTGGCTGGAGCCTCCCCTCTTTCAAGTTGGTCTGGGGATCATCCAGTAAATACTTACGGTGAGGAAGCTGCAGCTAGAGCCATCACAGGGCATAAAAGAGAAAATCTCTAGCTAAATTAATCCTCAGAAAGAATAAGATTGGTATCTCATAAGGGAATAGGTGTCATCTCAGCAATATTCACCTTTTCATTTGACCTTGCAATGAATTCAATATATTTATGTATGGCATACAAAGGCCTTCACTGAGSTTGGTATCTTGCCTTAAAACCATGCAAAGGAGATGAATGCAGGCAAGGAAGAAAGCTTGTTCYTGCACCCCAGGGGCACAGAGGGCTTGGAGAGGTGCTTAGAGTCACACAGAGGATCTGCTGTGGAAATAGGAACTGAGCACAAGCCGTGTGAATCTTTAGTTGCTGAACATCTGATGCAGAGGCAAATCACACTCCTGTGAAACCCCACTCAATGTCATATCTACACATGGGGAAGTGAGACAGATATTGCCTGTGCTTTTTTCTGTTGTGTCAGGATTCCTTCAACTCTTCTGCTTTATCTAACTGCTGGACAAATCTTCTCAAGCCTGCAGACAGCATTATGCAGTGAGGGCATGGGGGTGAAAAGCCCAGCATTCAACAGAGATTCCTTGGAGTATCTTTAAGATCTTGGATCACATAAAACAGTCCCCTCTCATAAAAAGAAAAAAAAAAAGAAGAGGAAGAAAAAAACACACAAACTTACCATTGTTGAGTGTTTCCTTAATAGAATCAGAATCAAATTTGTGACCTTGTGGCCCAGAGGTGGGAACACCATCTATAAACTTGCCCAGACATAGAAGTGCATTCTGCCTGTCAGTAGGAGTTTACCATTGAACATGTATATAAAAAAAGCTGGTGTTACATTAGACCAACATTTTTTAAATACCACAGCTCACTTTATATGCTGTAAACCTTGTTAATGTTGCTAACAAGAAAGTTAAAAACTCAAGGCTATAAAAATAGGAATGCTACTGCTAACTAAATAAATATATGTGAGAATCATATACTCAGATTCAAGTTCTAGAATGGCTCATGTACCCAGGGAGGGAGAAAAGAGGGGGAAAAAAGTTATTTTTGAAGTTATGAAAGCTCCATATAGTCAGCAAAATTGTCCCCTTTTCACTATGATTTAATTTCAGACGTTTCCTGACAGCTCAAATCTATAGCATGAAAGAAGCAGCCAGTCAACTCTGGAGTCAGGGCGTGCAGGCCACAGTGACCACTGCAGGAGAGAAAATTCAGCCCGCACGATGGCAGGAAGGGAAGGAAACTTCTCCCTGTGTGACTCAAAAACAGACTGTTAACGTGGCAGTACTGGGGAAAATGTTGTCTTCAAAACAGGCCACCTACAAATTCTGGCCTCTACTGTTGGCTCTGGATCCAAGCTCGTAGTCCCAGTTTGCGGCTGTTTCATGCAGTCTGAGTTGAGTAGTGAATCTTTTCAGTCCAGACTCTAATGAGGTCCAGAGCCTGGAGCTCCTAGGGTTTATTTTTGGCATTTATATGTTGAATGCAAGTATTTGGAATTATTTATCAATGCAGCTTTTTAACTCCATGATGCAAGAATAGTGGTCTACTCCCAATGTCAGATCTGCTGATGCTGGACTTATGTGGCCTTGCCCCAGTACTTTGTTAGCCTTGGTGATTCCTTTTGTGTCTTCTGGCCTTTGCTTATGAAGAGCAGCCTTTCTCCTTCCCTAATTTATTTCCTTTGGAAAATTGCAAATGAAAGATCTTAAATGATGTGATAATTGCTCACACAATCAACTTTCATTTAAAATTTTGGTGACACAAAAAAAAAGTATCTTTTTCTTTACTTTTCAGGGGAAAAGGGCTGTGCTGCCATCCAGAGGGACCTGGACAGACTGGAGGACTGGGCGGCGAGAAACCTCATGAGGTTCAACAGGGGCAAGGGCAGGGTCCTGCACTTGGGGAGGAATAACCCTGGACACCAGTACAGATTAGGCGTGGACCTGCTGGAGAGCAGYCCCGCAGAGAGGGACCTGGGTGTCATGGTGGACGACAAGTTGACCATGAGGCAGCAGTGTGCCCTGGTGGCCAAGAAGGCCAACGGGATCCTGGGGTGCATTAAGAAGAGCATCTCCAGCAGGTCGAGGGARGTGATCATCCCCCTCTACTCAGCCCTGGTGAGGCCACATCTGGAGTACTGCGTCCAGTTCTGGGCTCCCCAGTACAAGAGGGATGTGGAGCTGCTGGAGGGAGTCCAGCGCAGGGCTACCAGGATGATCAGGGGCCTGGAACGTCTACCATATGAACAAAGGCTGAGAGAGCTGGGCCTGTTCAGCCTGGAGAAGAGGAGGCTGAGGGGGGACCTGATCAGCGTGTATAAATACCTCAAGGGAGGCAGTGAGGAGGAGGGGGGCGGCCTCTTTTCAGTGGTGGGCAGGGATAGGACTAGAGGAAATGGCTTCAAACTGAAGCATCGCAAGTTCCACAGGAACTTAAGGAAGCATTTCTTCACTGTGAGGGTGACAAAGCACTGAACAGGCTGCCCAGAGAGGTTGTGGAGTCTCCTTTGGAGATCTTTAAAACCYGCTTGGATGCAGCCCTGTGCCACGTGCTCTAGGTGACCCTGCGTGAGCAGGGGGGTTGGACTCGATGACCTCTGAGGTCCCTTCCAACCTTCGGCATTCTGTGATTCTATGATTCTATGAAAACTGCCAAGATGGCAAAATCATTCTTAGTTGGAAACTCTTTTCCTCTAACATAATCCAGATGAATGCAAACTTGTATTTGTTTTGAAAGAGTTTGTCTCGCTACATACTGAACACTGGCTTTGTGTGTCCTGGAACTGGTTCTAGGAATTTCTTTCTTCATTGCTGCTGACTGTCTGGATTTCAAGATACATTGATTTGGGAATATGTGGATTATATCATGCTCCCTGTTGCCTTGAGCACAAACATGAGCAGCCATCTCTCAGCTGAAGAGTACGCAACTCTGCTTGCCCATTTTTGAATGGAATAACAGAGGCTATCGATCAAAAAACACTTGGGAGGCTTCAAGATTGATCAGATCCTCCAGTGAAGATACATATGTCAGAAAGGTAGCATCTTCCTGTAAGTACTGGCTTTGAGATTAATGCTGAAGAATATTGGAGTTGTGGCTGTGTTGAACATTCCCACTTGTGGCTATACCAGGGAGCCTGGTGAAGTGAGAATTGTTTGTGTTTGAACATATACAGTAGACGCATCTTTCAAAACATTCTTGATGAGATTTGTGTGCTAATAAATGCAATATTTGCATGATAACAAAATTTTAAATATTTTATCTGAAGCCAGAGATGTAATTTAATTTCAGAAGAAATAATAATCTTCTCAAAGCCCTAAGCGTGGACCTAAAGCATCTGCCTAGCTTGCTGTTGGAAGAAGACAAGGTCACTGCTCTGATGGCACTGCTTCTCATTGCCTCACTGAAAGGAGGAAGATGCTCTGTGCACACTCTGCTTCTCAACCCATTCAGAAGGGGCACAGACCTTGCTTGGCTCCATGTGTGGACGTGACTGATCATAAATATAATCAGATTGTACCTAATCAGGCATGTGTAAAATAAAGCAAATTTGGCTGTGTATAAAGACTTTATACATTCAGTGAAAGGGTGTGCTCAGTATCTGACTTTATGCTGATGTGGCTTGATCTATTTGATTAATAAAACAAGAGTAAATATAAAGAGGCCCATTAATTAGACTAGTTCAGCTGGGAACTAGAGAACTTTGTTTATTCAGTGTGTTGGGAACATACAGTGTAAGCAATGAACCTGTTTGTACATCCCATACTTGCCATAACAGTACTTAAGAGCTTTTAACTGAAGCCAAGATGATGTCTAGGACATGTGGACTCTGTATGTAAATCTAGGGAGGAAATATATAGTGGATAAAAGTGGAGTAAAGAAAAAAAAAAGAAAAGAGTTACTTCCACCTTCTCGTGAACACAGACCTTGGCTTTTTCTAAGAAGTTACATATGAGCCATCCTTTCCCTCCGTAAGTGTGTGGAGTGTAATGTGTTTTCTGACAGATGCAAACCAATCATTTTATTTAAGCATTCATTTCCTGATCCCAGCCCCAAACTCTGCTTATGCAAGTCCTTGTACAGGTCAGGCTCTAAGGAGGCAAACCAGCTTCTGATGGCAMAGTGGCACGAGTTGAACAGCATTTGATGGCACAGTGGCACAAGTTGAACAGCATTTTCTGCTCATGGCAAAAACCCTCTCCAAGGAAGTGCATAGGAGCAGGGAGCCTTTGTCAGCTGTCTGAGTGCATTAGAGCCTTAATGACCTTAACACCTCCACCTGGGACCTCTACCATATCTGGGAGCCTCCACCCATGAACCCTCTCCCTATTGGTCCAGAGATRCATTTAAGCTCCAACCTCTGCAGGTCAGTTAATGCTGAAACTGCTCTTGAGCAGTTGTTTGTCTCCAGCCTTGTTATTGGCCTCAATGGTCAGAAGGGCAGTGGACCACACTGCAAAGGTAAGTCACATTGGTGTTGATTACATGCCAGCAAACTCAATCTCTATTGTATTGTGTTATCTCAAAGTTGTAATAAAATCCAATTATTTTAGTCCTTCTGGGTGCAGGAGAGGCCTCTGACTGGATTCTCAGTTTTCTACTGATGTTATATAGTTCAATTATCATAGGATAGAGGCTTCAGTTTTATGGGAGAAATAATGTTTAAATGCTGAGGTATGCTGGAAACTTCATGGCTTTTCAAGAGTGGAAAATGGAGAAGGGGAGTTTGTGATTCCTAGTCTGTCTCTAGACCTAGAGGAAGGTGSCCAGAGGGCATGAGAAGGGTATTATGACCACCAGTGTTGAAGGAAAACACACATGGGGAACTTGGGAAGGACTGTCAGGATTTTCCCTTTSAGCAAAAGGGAGCAGAAAAGGGAAGTGAAGGCATGGTGGGCAGCAGCTAATCATAAGGGCTTTTCTGYAAAGTTGTATTTAATTTATCCCCCCTTCTCTTCTTCTGCCATGTTTCTTTAAGTCATTTCYTTTCTGTGACAAGAGCAGCCACTTTATCCTATGTCTGGACATCTTCTGCTGTTCTTCTTTCAGGCCATTTGGCATGTCTCGGTATGTTTGGTGAGATGAAGCAAGCTTCTTGTCATTAAGGGATAAGTGATAAGCTTCCTGCAGTTTCTTCTAGCCAAGAGAAAGAGTCTTCTCAACTTTGAAGAGGATTTTCATCAAAACTTAGCAGGGTTTAAGGGGGGGGGGGGGGAGGGGAACCTCACAATTTTTTTCTGCTCAGTCCTTCATTGTTATAGCCAGACATGTATGGGTTAGAAATGAGGTATAAGTAGCTCATTTTGTCTTAAATATGACACCCACCCTCAACCTCTACATTATTTATTCAACTTCACCTTCTCAAACAGCAAGAATTGCTTACAAGCTATCCTGCTTCTTATGAGAAAACCACATGCATTCAAATATTAATCAGGCATTAATAGGGCAAGTAATGGGACTGCCAATATATTAGGAATTTATTCTGAAGGAGGAGTTGCAGGATAGGTAAGGGAAGTGTGAGCAATATCTTCTTTCATTGTATGGCTAGTCAAAACCAARCCTATTTAGTTCTCTAAAGCTTCAATCAAGCTTTAAAAATATTTAGTCTATATAGAGCAATCATCCAATTACTTGCAAGACTAAATATAATATGCTTACAAGAGGGGAAAAAAGTGGTGGAGTTTTATGAACAATATTTCATTTTCAATAGCTATTTGATGAGCAGAACTTTCCTTTTTGCTTTTCATGTCAGTACTGAGTGTGACTTATTTCTACTATAATTCCTGGATAATGTGCTGAGATGCTGATTTTGTTGGAAGACCACAGTCAAAATTGCACCGAAATTTAATGCAGCATGGGAATTATCTTAATCAGAACTTCACCACTGCAGTCTAGGAACAATTTTAGAAGGTCATGTTGCATCTTGTCAAGGGCTTTCACAAATTAAAAAGCTATTTATATATGAATTTTAAATCAAAGCACAAGCATTCTGTGCTTTGATTTAAAGCACTTACATTTCTCTCTTYGCCTCAAACATGGACCGTGTTCAGCATTTTCATTTGAATGTGCACTARCGTAAGTCCTGGGAAAGAAGCTTTTTTCATGCTGCTGGATTCCTGGCATGAGGAACCAGATAAGGTGGGAGGATGTCAAAGTGGGAAGTTGCTGCCATTTTAATTGCTSCTAGAGGAAACCAAGGCAGGTCTGGGATGCAAAAATTGATTCTGGCTGATTTCTTTCTCGGGAAGACTAAAACCACTTGTTCTGTCTTTTCAGCCCCACAAAGCAAGATGGTTTGTCAGCACTGCTGCAAGTAAAGTGGGGCTGTGCACTACAGGAGCCTGTGAAATTTCTTTGCCTATAAAGCCAAGATGCRTCATTTCATTTGGAAGCTGACCAGTGGCTCCTTGAATGTTCTGTAGGTATTGTTGTCTTGGGTAACAATGCCATTAATTGCTCACTTTAGTGCTTGTTAGCCRGAAGGTAGCAAGGGAAAGGGCGGAGTGTGCTTGCCTGTGTAGCTCTGGAGGCATTTTTGGTGTTTATGAATCTCTTCTGTCTTGGGTCCTACTCAGTCCTGAAAACTATGTAGTCTTTGGGTCACTGTTTCTTTACTATACATTGTATGTATGAATATGACCTCCAGATCTTTTCTAAATGATTTTACAAATGTTATTCAACATTTACAGACATAGGGACCTTCCTTGTGGCTTATCTGCAGTGATGAATGAATTGTTATTCCAAAATCTCAGTATAYTGGGTCCCCTATCTTGTTTCCATCCTCTTTTGAAAAATTTGTCTTGTTATTTGATGGCCAGCTGGCTGTTGCGTATAAGTGTGTGCTGGGCTGCACTTCTATAGATGCTCTTTATGTGCCTTTTCCACTCTGATTCAGTTCTGAGAACAGCAGTGACCTTCTCTTCAACAGTGGTTGTAGTGTTGGTACCAAGTTCAGCATCTGTAGACAAAGCAACAGTCAGGAAAAACACGACTATATTGACAGATTTCCAGTTATCCATCAGCAGGGTGCAATGTAGAGTTTACTGCTTAGGAAGGAAGTTGCTTCCATCTATAAGGAGGAAAAAGTCACTCATAAATAGAGAAGCTGACCCATGAACAATTTATGAAGTTCCTAAGTCTACCTATGACTTTCTTACATATGGTCAGAGCCCATCAGACTTGGTACCTTTGCTCATTTTGGCATGAGCTCTGATTTAACTAAACACCCTTTTTGATGCTGTGGATGCTAGGAAAGCTTACTGAAATTCAATGATACWTTGTTAGTAATAACATATATTAGTACATGAATGTGGTGAGACATTGCTCAGCAGAAGGGCTGTTTGTGGTAGAAGGCAAGGTGTGACTAATTTCTTTTTTTAATGCCTCTAGCAAATGTCCATAACTGGCTGGCTGTGACTGGGTAAGGTTTGTTATTTCTAGAGCAGTGGCTGCCTGGAGAGATGCTGTAACAGGGAGCTTAGCCTGTGTGTCTACAAGCAGCCTTTATTAATTGCAGCAATGGGTGGAAAATGCATTAAGTTCATATATTACTGTTGAGGAGGTTGGCAGCATTTACTCTCCCAGGGTTGCTGCATATTTCCAAAGCTGTATCTATACAGCATGAAAAGCACTTCATTCTCTTTCTCTCAAGACRCTCAGCATTGCCTATGGTGCACTCATTCCTTGCATGTTGCTAGGAAAGGCAAGGGATGGCAAAGCCCTGGCATCAACCTTGAGGTCCTTCAGGATGCTGTTGAGCAGCAGGATAGAGCTTTTCTTCACTTGTTCAATACTATGCCTTTCTGTTTCCAGGAAAGAAAGGAAGGAATTAAAAATAAGTAAGAAGAAAACATCATTCTCAATAGAATATTCTCAGAACTTTCCACCTTTCATCATCTTGCCCTCCTCTGGGATGTCTGAAAGCCTCTCCCAGCCTCAGTCCTGCCTGAGCAGTTCTGCAGAGGTGTTGGCTCACGGCAGTTGTGGGAAACAGCGTAATGTGCCAGTTCTTTATGTAGCTGCCTCTGTCCTGAGCAGAAATGCTGGTGGCCAAGGTGTGCCAGCATCCTCCTGGGGTCTGCCAGTGCAATTGTGCAGGCGATGCTGTGTTGCGGAGGAGGTGGTAGGTGAAGGAGGAATTTAAGGCAGGGTGGAGGCTGCTACAGAGCTCACCTAGCAGGATGGGAAGCAGCCTCTGAGAGCAGCACTCAGCGCTGATGTCCTGGAGCAGAGGCTGTTTGCGTTGGGAACCCTTGAGGTTCTGGTAGAGCACCGTGCTGTGCTTGGGATGTCCTCCTGGTGCTCACAGTAACTGGGAAATACAGATATAGGTGGGCTGCAGGCAAGATCTGCAGCAAACCTGCTGGGTTTGAAGGACAAAATGTCCTCTGTTCTGTCATCACAAGCCTGCCAAGGTTGTGTATTTAAAAGTATAACTGAGTTCCTTCTGTGGTCACACATTTTTATTCATTACCTCAAAAAAAAAAGGGGGGTGGGGTGGGGAGGGAAGGAGGTGGATGGATAGCACCAGAAAYGCAAACCACAAGGCTGAATTTTTACCCTGATGCTTTTAGTAATTTTATAGACTACAGCAATTTTCAACCAGTACCTTCCCTGCAAGTGTTTTTTGCTTTCAAGCTGTTGTGTTTTGAGGGACAAATTGCAACTTTTGTGTATAAGCAAGCTGAAAAGATTTCTAGTGTTTCTTTTTTGGGGGGAGGTGGGGAACGTCTTCAGGTTGAAGATGCCGATTTGAAGCTTTTAGGTCCTGGGAGCAAGTTTCCAGACTATTCTTTTTGAAATATTCCATTTGCCATGTTGCTGTCATGAGGGATTGGCACATGAAATCAGTGAAACTTTCAGTTCAAAAGCATGCACATTGTGTGTCACTTGGAAATGGATCCTTGTTCTATGATGTAGGACTCTGCTATGAACTAATAAAATAATTCTAGTAAAGAAGCTCTGCTTCAGCCAATATGGGAAGGGTTTGCAGAGTATTGGTTTGAGCTTGAGACCCCAAATCAAGCCTTCTAGCCTTCTTTTATTTAGTTCATAATGGTGCTATGTATTTCTTTCAATAACAAAAAAAGGCAAGAGGAAGCTTGTTTTGGGCCTTATCTTCAGAGGCTTAATCAGGAATTTGGTCTGAAAAGGCAATGCAGGTTCCCTTGCAAGTTTTATTTGCTGTCTTTTATGAGTGCATGTGATGACCTGTTAGTCTTCATATGGGCAGTTTACATCATGATTGCAAAGATAAATGGAACATGGTTAGTGCTGTTGAATTCCCTTCATTGCACAGTAAGTCATGCACTGCACTGAAGGAAATAAATTTAAAAGAAGTGATCTAAAATGCATCCTCACATACAGGAATATTACAATGTCAAGCCATGTTTTGCATTATGAGCTTGCAGTATTGCATCACTTTATGAAAACTGAAATTGGCAATCGCTCTAGAAGTGCTA